ACCTTGTTGATCTTGCAGGATCTGAGAACATTTTGAGATCTGGTGCCAAAGAGGTACTGTCTTGCAAGTTCCGATAGACATTGCAAGTTACAGTTTACATTATTAAAGTTAATTCGCCCTGATAACATTTAAATTAGAAAACTTTTCTGAAATATGAGTAAAAACGATGTAAAATTCAAAAATAGGAGTACCATGTTTTTTCTGAAACAGAAGTTAAAATCGTATTGTCATGTTTTGGAATTGCCAATAATTTGGCAGTATTATTGCCATAATTCCATCCATGGCAATAATTACTCCTATTTAGGAGGGAAACATAGTGCTACTATTTTGAATTTCGCATTTCTTTTGCACTTATTTAGGGGGGAAACATACTTCTATTTCTGTTTAAATTATTATTACTATCATTATTTGAAATTTAGATATTTAGAATCTATATAAAATGTTCTATTGAATCGTAAAAAACGTATCAATTTAATAAAATGATTGATACTACAAAATCAAAGATAAAAAAGTAATTATGTTTAGGGTTTTTTCAAATATACTACTAAAATAAAACTTGTTTACACAAACATGACTAATAGTTACTACAATGTTTGGTAACTTAAGTTTAAAAATTGAACATAAGTTACTATTAATTCATTACTACTCTAGTCATTATTCACATTTTTGGAAAAACAATCTTTATTTTACTCATAAATATGTAATTAATTCTTATGTTTACCACGTGAGGACGTGAATAGTGAATTGGCAGTCCAGCCAAACTTTGCATACAATTTTAAAAAGGTAGCGCATCTATGCCTATAAAACAATAAGCTATTCTATGCAAAGTAATTTCATCACCACCAAACGCCCCTAAGGTTAAACCTCATTCAACTTTCCGAGCTAAAAATAAGCAAATCTAGCCTCCTACAAGTTCACAAAAGGGGCACACCATTTTTTGCAAATTTAGCCAATAACCGTTGAAATGAGAACTGATATCTTCATTTGCGCGCTTAGGGAAGAGCAAGGGAAGCGGGAGAGATAAACAAGAGCTTACTTACACTAGGACGAGTCATCAATGCTTTGGATGATCACTCCGGCCATGTTCCTTACAGGTAAACATGTTGTTGTTGTTGTTATCATCACTATTACTAATATTATTATAAAATTGAGGGAAGTATGGGAAAGGTATAATTTGAGGAAAATATTTACGTATATGGGGTTTTAGAGATAGCAAATTGACAAGGCTATTGAGGGACTCATTGGGAGGAAAGACAAAAACCTGCATAATTGCCACTGTTTCTCCCTCTCTTGAATGCCTGGATGAGACTCTCAGTACTCTAGACTATGCATTTCGCGCCAAGAACATCAAAAACAGACCAGAGGTTAGTAAAGCAGCAGCATTATGTTAAGAAGAGATTTTCTTACTGTTCTCTTCCCAGTATCTTTTAGTCTTTCAAGAGCAAAATACATATTCCATCCTCAGGTTAACCAAAAGAATGGAATATACATTCCCCAAGAGCTATTCCAGCCTGATGAGGCTGCCCAAAAGGTACTAATTCCACTCCAGCCATTGATATTTAAAATAAAATAAAAACAATGTAGTCTTCCCTGATAGGAATGGAACATAGGTAAATGATGGAAGTACTTCATTTAAAGTCTTCCAAATACAGAAGAGAGAGATAAGCCACTTACTTTTCGTTTTGTAGGAACTGGCTGAAAAACAGAAGCTCATGGAACTTGATATCGAGAAGAAAAACAAGGTAAGTGTCACTCATTTATGTTTTGTTCAATGGATGAGAGGAGAGGAATTGGTATTTAGGGAAATATGTAGAATGTAGTACGGAGTATTTGATACTCCGTATGATTTTTCTGTAAATAAAAATATAATCCCTCCAACTTGAAATATATTTTCCATTTCCTTTTTTAAGTCTTTCCAAAATAATTTCCTTATATTATTTTAAGGAAAGAAACAAACTCAAATCTCAACCATAACCTTTCCTAATAAGCATGTCAACATGAACTACGTTTCAAGACGTAATGAGTAATACTTCACAAGTGTAACAATATTAATGTAAAAGTGTGGGTATAAAAAAAGGAATACATGTCAAGGGGGAAAGCAACTTCCCATTGGGGTGGAGTGGTATTTATTGGAGTTCTTTTAGCTCCTCCCCTAACTCCTCCAACCAAACATAGTAAACTTCTTTGATTTCTATCCTATCTCTCTCCAAAATCCTCTACCCAAACAAATGCTTCTGATCATGCCCTGGTTAATATAATTGACATTCGGAAACAGAGAATTGCAGAACTTGAAGATTTATACAATAACCAGAAAAAGTTGACAGCAGATTTAGTTGAAAAAATTGCACAGGCCAAGGTAAAAGCATGTCAATTGAGCAGCAGCTCTTTCCCAACTGGGTTGCATCCATACGAAAAAAGTCGCATTACCTTTTCTTGTGCTTCCAATGGCAGAGAGAACTCAAGAACACTGAGGAATCCTTATGTGAACTAGAAGCTCAATACAGTCAAGCAAAAGAAACGGTTCGACAGAAGCAATACTTAATATATTATCTCATCACATCTGGTATGAATACTAGTTTGTAATTTACAGAAGCACATTACCATTTGAGACCTTTGAACATTTTATTCCCAACTTTTATATATAGAAAAGGCACTTACTGATAAAGCAATCGAGCTTCGAGCAGAGCTAGAGAATGCAGAATCAGCGGTTTCCATATTATGTAGGAAAATAGGTGAGCATTTTGTTTCAAAGCTTGACTTTTAGGAATCTCGTCCAATTATTTATAATAACTTTTTTTTATTTTGTCAACAGATAATAATAACCTTAGAGAGGAAAATAACCAACTTATTCTCCAGAACTTCAAGAACCAAATAGCAGAACAACTTGAACTTCTAAATACGAATGTAGCAACTACTGCATCACAACAAGCACAGCAACTGAAAGTTGTACAAGAGAACACAAAACTTTTTTTATCTGCAAAGTCCAAGGTTTGTTTAAGGTCCTAAACTTTGGAGGAGGAACTCAATATCTTATAGGTTGATTCGTTGTTTCATTTTTGGTTCCATCATTCGAAATGGAACCAAAGATTCACTATTTTTTGGCTTGAGAATATGATAGAATAGAGCAAAATTGCTCACTAAACTGTGTGCGCTTCGTTGTTATGACGCAAAAGTCAATTCATGCAATTTTTTAATGTGATTTTACCATGGGTCATCTGGAAACTGTCTCCCTATACTTTTGAACAGGGGTAAGGCTGCGTACATTCGACCGCCCCTTATCCCACCGTAGGTGGGAGCCTTTGCGGCATTGGGATAATGATGATGAGATAAACTTTAAATCATGACCCGACAGGAAAACACCTCGTTCTTATAAAGTAATTTATAACAAAAATACCATTTTTTACAAGGGCACATACCCCTACGTTCTGACATCTCGTCTGGACCATATATTTTCTCTTTTTCTAGAGGGGCTAACATCATGACTATGGATCGTGTTAGGAAGAGTACCCCAAAATCTGAAATGTGGTTTCATCATTTCATTTAGCCGATTTGGAAGAAACTCTTCAACAAGGTTAAATAAAGAACCTACGTGGGTTGAATAAAGAAGTAAAGAACCCGCAACTGTGTTTTTAAATTTCAAATTAAGATTCAAACTCATGATTGCATACCTGTATCTAAGGATAGGCAACGGAAGGTCTACAGAATCTGCTCAAGGAGCTAAAAGATATGTACATGTCTGATGTCCAAAATTTGGCTGGCATAGCAGAAGAACAAAGTGAAAATTTTCATGCCACCTTTGGGAAATTAAATTCAGAAGTATCAAAATGTTCATCTTCAACAATGGAAGTGAGTTTCAGATCTGTTTTACGTGATGTTTTTCCACCAAACTGCAGCTTCTGAATCATCCATATTTAGTGCAGCTTGTTGCGAAGATTTCCTCAGACATTGGTTCTGTACTTAATGGTCTAGAGAACAACTTTAATGGTCTTGAGTTAAAGATGAAAGCATTTCTACAACAGGAACAACAGGTACATATATAGGAATGGAGGAAGAATCATCACTAAAACCTTGGTCTTTTGTGTTATTGCTACTGAAAATTGGAACTCATCGTGTTTTCTTCTTCTGCTTCTTCCCTGCTTTGTGTTATCATGTGTAATAGAACCAATCACAAACATACCAAGCCACTAAAATAATTTCTGAAGTTCTTGAAAGCTTCTTCAAGGATTTAAAGACATTTGTTTCCAAATTGGCGCACATGGAGGAAGAATCACACAGAAAGAATAACCAGCAAATCTGTGCCCTTGGAAGGAAGTTTGAGGTAACTATGTGCCTAAATAAATAACTAGCTTCTATCTTGATAAACATTTTAGTATCTTTTGAATCCCTGATAGGAACTGGCTGCAAACGAAGAAAGAGAAATTTTAGAAAAGATCGCGTCTCTGCTAGCAACTTCCCATGCTCGGAAGAAACAGCTTGTGTGTACTCTCTTCCATTTTCAAATGCTACTTTACCAATATATGTTACTGATAGGGACCCACCTATTGACTAATAAATAGACTAGTAGCTATTAGTTAAAATGATGTACGTAATAGATACTACCTCAGTTCTTTATTATCTGTCCCGCTAGTCTTTGGCACGGGTTTTAATAGAAAAATAGTAAGGTAAATGTAGAGTGTGTAGGATAAATGATAAAGTAAGAAAGAGAGTATATTAAAAAGAGTAAAGTGGTGATAAAGTAATGATAAAGTAGGAAAGAGAGTATATTAAGTAGAATAAAATTGTGATAAAGTAGGAAAAAGAAAGTATTATATACTAGTAAAAAGTAAGAGGGGTAAAAGTAATAAAAGTGGAGGTATTTTATCAAAAACTTTCCTAGAAAGAGATACAAATAATAAAAAACGTCCCAAAAAGAAATGGGGAACACATAATAGAGAAGGGAGTATTAAATAAAGTCACTTGCTGGACTGCTATAAATAGAAGGTAGGCTGGGAAGGGAAGGAGGCCTTTGCACGTATAATCTGGGACTCGGGAAGATCCAGAGCTTCTTTTAGGGGGATTCGGCTCATTGGGGGGCTTCTGCCAGCTTCTTGTTACGATTACTGTTCTTGTTCTTCTTCATCAATAAAATTCCTTTGTTTCTTGTTAATTTTTCTGTTAATCGTTTGGATTGCTGGAGATCTCTGACATTGGTATCAGAGCCTCTTCCTTCCTGGAGCGATGGAAGAATTCTGGACACCAGAAATGGAGGAACGACTGACAGAGATAGAGAGAAAAATCAATAGAAATCAGAAAGAATTAAATGCGAAATTCAAAAAATGGAATGCGAAGTACGAGGAAGTGAAAGGGATGATGCAGGCTGGCTTTGCGGAGATTATAAACCAGAAGACAGATCGATCGAGGAATCGATCACATCACTCTACTGCATCGCCTCACACTTCGCACTATCATCAATGACATACGCGACCTTCGACTAACTCAGAGACATCGGATGATCGATCGAGGAACCCTGAATATCATTCATCGCAGTCGCTCGCCAAGTCGCAGACTGAGTCGCGAAGGAGGACTCCTAGTTCACGTCCAAGAGAGACGCGATTGAGAGGAGAATTGTCATCTTCATCGACAGTTGAGCACTTGAGCATGGCTGTTCGCAGAGTTCGTCACATAGCTTTTCGCGCCGTTCTTCTCATCACATAGCTCGTCACCACCGTTCCCAAGATCGCAAACGGAGTCGCGCACTGTTTCTTCTAGTTCGCAGTCCCTAAAGGTTTCTCTCGGTTCGCAAACTTACTCGACTGCGATCAATTCAAGTCCAAAAAAGATACGATTGAGAGAAGAATACCCATATCCATCGCGAATCGATTATCACTATTCGATTTCTGCGTCTGAAGTTACTCCTCTGAGTTCACAAGGTTCATCTGGAAGAGAAGTTTTCAATCCTCAGATTTATTCCCGAGCATATTCTTCATCTCCTAAGGCGGAGAAGTTCACTGAAGGCAAAGATGAAAGCGAGAAGAATGCTTCAGTGACCGATGGACCTGAAGCTGGTGAAATTGATCGAGTTTTCCAATGCAAACCTGTCAAGAATTTTCAGAATCTCTTTAGGGATCTCTTGACTGATGCACTAACAAAAATTGACAAGGTCAGGGGGGCTATTAACAATTGATACGTAGTATTATTTTTGTAGATGGAGAAGTAGGTCGTAAAATGCAGTCTCATAGGGTAATTGATAGTTCAGAGAACAAGATTCTCTGGAAAAGATATGCGCATTGGAACAAGGGTAACATGGTTCACCAACTTACTAATAGAAGAAGGATGGAGAGATACATTATGGATGCTGACAATCAGAGACAAGAAATTAGGAGTGAAGATGTGGTGTCATTTCCGGGTGCCTTAGCAAAACAAATGTGGAAGAATGATCCACATATTAAAGCAATTGAAGGTTCAATCTGCACTCACACCATTGCTAAACCTAGGAAGGCAGTTAAGGACAGTTTGATACTTTATGCAAATGGGGACTCCTCTAAGTATAGGCAAAACCTAAGTACTTAACAAAAAAAGCATTTTCCATTGCATTTTCAAAAGGTAAAACCCAACACCGAAATATATAACTTTAGTTGGCCTTTTTCCTTTCCCTTGTTCCGGGTTCCAATCAGATGCTAAACATCAGTTAATGTGAAACAGAGGGAGTTTCCTTTCATTGTTATGTGCAATCTCATTTCTGTTTCTCGTTTGAATAATAGGTTCAAACAGAGCTTGATGCTCTTCAAAGGTGTGCTAATAATAAAACCAGACATCTAAACAAGGAACTTTCAAACATCCATGACTGCAGTTGTTCTACTCAAGAAGAATGGACAAGCTTCGTTGAGGGAACAAAGGTTCATCACAAAGAGGATAGTACTATATTAGAAACCTGGAGAGGGGGCTTTGAAGAGAGCCTTAGAGGGTGGTAAATCTTTATCCTGATGATATAAAGTTGCAAATACCAATTTATCTGAAACCATGAAAAAAGAATTTAGTCACTCTATTGGTAAACATGCAGTATGAGAATCTCCAATGCAGTTGCAGAACAATGGAGGAAGGCTCAAGAGTCACTTATTATACAACACACTACAAATACCAACTCCATAGACTCCATTATTAAGTAAGTTATTATTCCCCAAGGAAAGGAACAGCACATAAAAGAATAATCTATTAGGATCTGTTTGCTCATACTTGTTTCATAACTTAGGAGTGGAATAGGAAAGCATGAAAAGGTCAATGCTCAACTTTCTGCTTGTGCTTCTACCATACTTGAAGAAACTGATCTTGCTATGAAGAACGTTCTCTCTACCACGGAATGTATGTGCTAAATTTTGAAGTTGCATTATTTAAACAGCATTATGATGTCTTCTGATAATAATAAAGAAATACTCTATTTCAGATTTGCAAGAAATGGATAGTGGAGGGATCCAAAAGATCAAAACATGCATCGATCCGTGTATTGCTGATATGAATGGAATGGAAATGACTCATTCGCACAAAATATCTGAGATTGCACTAAATACAGAAAAGATTTTGACAGATGATTACAAGGTAAACACATCAATAACTTCGTTCTGACATTCACTTATTACTTATCTGATGTTTAATTTTTCTTCATTAAGAAATAAGCACACTATAATGAATCACTAAAACTGCCCTCTGTCACCCGGAACCTATGAAAAATAGAAAGAATAACGGAACATTGGAAGGTATAGTGTAGCCAGGGAGAAATGTAAGAAAACAATCAATTTATGCATTACTCCTTTGTTCTTTTTTGGCATTTACAGCATACAAGAAAACAGTCTGAATTTATTTACAGTATATGTTCACATTTATGACTTATGAGAACAAAAAGTAACTTAGTACTTCGCTATTTAAATGTTCTAAAAATAGGAATTCGTAAGTGACACCAAAACATAATAAAAGCTATTGTACTTTATGAACAAAAACTTATTCAAAGATTTTTTTGTATTTTAGTGACAAAGTGCACTAGCTGGTATGCATAACAGCATAAGCTTAGGTTATTATATTTAGACAAGCTTTGAATATTGTCATGCTAAAAAACTTTGAATATTGTTAGAATAAAGAACATAACTCATAAATTAAGAGTTTTTTAACCTGAATGCTAGTAGACCACAAAACGTGTTTTGAAATGTTAACAGGACTCAAATTATTGATTTTTAATGTAATATTGTAAACCAAGAGCAGAATATTATTAATATGTAAAGTTTAATAGGTATATACATGTTATTCGTATGAAATTCAAAAAAAAAAGTTAAATACTGATCAAACATGTTTTTAAGAAAAAAGTCAGAAATAGGGTACTTGTGCCTTAATTTTTAGTCCCACACAGCCACCTAGGCTTTATACTTAAATCGACTAGTTGACATCATTTAATGTAACAAAATCTGGTAACTATTTATCGAACACAATTTCAGCAATAAAAATAATCATTCTATTTTTATTGATCGGACATCCTGAAACATTGACGGATTGACCTTTTCTTATTATTTGTTTAAAGCAATAATTTGATCACTTTTGCTTTCATGAACGCGGCATAAATCTAAAGTAAGCTAATTCAGTTATTTTGTTCTTAATAATTAATATCAAACGTTATTTGAACTTGAGATGTAAACTAACTCTGAAAAAATGAATATCAAAATTTCCTAATCCAATTGATTTTCCAGTTCAAGTTTCAATACTTTATGCTTTATGTTTCACATTGTTGCTGGAATGAAAGAAACGAGTTTCAAATGATTATCTCTTTTATTAACAACCAGGTGGATGAGCATTTGGATTCAACTCCAAGAAGAATAAAATTCAATCTGCCTAGCAAAGAATTCATAGAAAACCTGAGAACTCCCTCTTTTGAAGAGTTACTTCAGTCATTCCAGGATGGTACAAAACTGGAACTGGAGACGTAAAAATCCTAAATATTCTATATTTAATAATAATATTGTTAATGATCCCATTTATATACTTAACCCAATTTGGCATTTTATAAACACGTGTTCATTTATAAAAATTAGCATTATAACAGTTATTTGTTTATGCTTTTGAAAGAGTCCCTGTATTACACATCGGTAACAATTTTATGTGGTTCGACTTCGCCAAATTTTCAATGAATCATTTTTGTTCTTTGTTATTTCCAAGATTGCCTTTGTGATATTGATATGTGGTTGGAAGCAATTGGTGGTAGGTGGGGATACCTAATCTTTACCAGAAAGTGTTTCTTGTAGAAACAGACCAAAAATGAAAGTAGAAACGTCATTACAAGACTTTGACAGTATGAAAATAATTTCTTGGACAGGAATCACAGGATCATTGTGTTCACAAATGTCTACAACCATTGGCAATAAAATCCGCTTTACTGAGGAGTAGTTCATACAAATATGGCAATTATGCAAGTAAATAGGATGCCCAAGTGGGTTTGAAGTTGACATACATAAAATTCTGCTGGAAAACAAATTCATAGAAAACCCAAAAACCATTTTGTTTCTTTCAGTTGCAGAGGAGTTAGTAAAACGAAACATTGGCCACAGGAAGTTAAAGAATTCTAAGTGCCTGATTTGTACTAAAAACATTAGTAGTAATTGTTTCTGAAGAAGATGATCATACTCTGCATTGAATACACCACCAGCCAAGCATCGGTAAACTGACCACTTTCATCCGCTTCTCTGATCAATGCCTTCCTCAACTGTTGTACCATAATCATATCTGGCTTGAGACTGCTGAGTTTTTGTGGTCTTCTGAAGAAGTTTACTATGTGTCTTCTTCGTGATATTCGTTGTTGCTGGCTGAGTCGTCTTTAATGGAATATTATACATTAAATCCAAGTTTGTCTTCTTCATGATACTCATTGTCAGCGTCTTTAATGGAATATTTATATCCAAGGGAAGAAGAATATCTTTTAATTCATTCCATTCAAGATCTTCCGAATCGCCATCTTCATAGACCACCTTATACCAATGAGTGTCCTCATCGTATTTGGCAACTTTTCCGATGTAAAGTTGGTCCCCGAACAGCTTTTGAACTTCTCTACCCTCCAGCCATTGACTGAAACAACCTTCATATCTATGCAATTCTACTGTATCAGTTATGGCAGAACAGGGAACAAGGTTTACACAATCTGGGGGGAGGGGAGGTAATCCATTAACAACAATAGCAGGCTCTCCTGGTAACTCAAAAACCGCTTCTTGCCTCGAAGTATAATCCATTTTCACTTGTCCTCTTTAAACTCCTGGATTAATAAATACACTCAAACTGGTGCATGTAGTAATTAAAACATACTAATTTGAAGAAACTCTCACATCATATCTACAGAACTACAACACACCAACAACAACATCCAAGCCTTAGTCCCAAAAGATATTAGGGTCGGCTAACATGAATCGATACATGAATATCACCACCAAAAGGAAAAGAAAGAAAATAAAGATAAAAAAGATAAGCTATTATAAAAAAATAATATAAAAAGAGATGAATATACATAAAATGATAAAAGGCTAAAGGGTCAAATAGGTACATGAACTAACTTAAAGTGTTCAATTAGCCCCTTATATAGGAGGTTCTTCCCGGTCGTCCCCGATTGGGGAAGTTCCCAAAACTATTCTAAATGTCCAATGAGGCAATGAGACCATGATTTACATCCCCAAAAGGTTTAGTTTATGTAGTAATAAACGTTTCAGTGAATTATGTCATCCAAATTAATATAGCAAAGGTATGCGCGCTTAATGATTGCGAGTTTTGCAACCTATCGAAATAAGTCAGAAAGTTGTCATTACCAAGTCGCGAGGAACAGTAGTACAAATGATCTTACCGATTGATTGTTGAGTTGTTTCGAAGTAGGAGCAGGTATGAATTCTGTGACAGGTTTTCTTCTCGACTGGCCTGGCCAGAGGAAGAAGCGAGGGAATAATGCTGTCGTCAAATCCACAAGTTGAATAGGCCTTCTTAAAGTTTTTACGTAGTATTTAAATTTTGAGGATGGGTTTCGCATGTTTAAGTTTCATTTGATCTGAATAGATATGATGTGATAAATGGAAGTTCTGTGTTTATTTTATAAAAATGTCAAAATCTGACCTGTCTAAGTGTGATCTGTCTATGCTGGTGTTGTCCTGTCTTTGAGTAAAATAAATCCAAATAAAAACATCATAAGTGTATAGAGATTAGAAATAATTGCTAAACATGTTCAACGATTTAAGATGTTTTCTTTTGAATTGTTTTCAATCTCAAATCAGATCAGATCAACAATCACCCTAATAATAAAAGTAATTATAATTTGAATCAGGGGCCGCCACTCAAACTCAAAATTATTGTTGATCATAAAAACGCGCTAAAGAAACAGAGAAATTCAATATAATCAACTAAAGCAATGAAAAATGAAAATAAATATTTTAAAACTAAGCAAACTCTAACAAAGCAAACCAATATTTTTTCCCCTTTTTTTGACCAATAAAAAGTATGAAAACTTTAAGGAAAACTGTCATATTTGTGCACCTACTTCAGACAAAAACTCAATCAAGTCCATCTACTTTAAATTTAACCAATCAGGTCCACATTCTTTCAAATTTGAGTCAAAATGGCATTTTGGGCTGTTGCCAACCGGTTCCCCAGTTACCCTCCGATGTGTCCGCTTACGTGGATTAAAAAAATTCTAATAATGATGAAATTATCATTTAAATCTCTCTCCTCAGCCTAACATAGAAGATAGAGGTACGAACAAATTGAGAAAGAACCCTAAGGCGTGAGCTTGCTATCTTCTTCTTCCCCGGAAAGTAAAGGGCATCTGCATCATCTTCGACTGGGAGAAGAGGACGAAATTCCACTCTGGATTACGAGCCTAATGTGTATTGCTTCTGCGGACTGAAAGCCCCCCTGTGTATTTCGTGAGAGAGTGGCAGTAAGTTCTATGGGTGTCAAAAATGGAAGGTAATGTTTAATTGGCTTCGTTTGGGTGTATAAGATGGTTGTATAGTTATGAAAACTCTTGGTAGCATTTAACATCTGGGTGCGGATATTTTGTTTGGGTGGATGCTATGGAAACGAGAGGGGTAAATAACCTGGCTGGGATGAATGAAAACAGAGACGAATTGAAAGCTATGGTTTCAAGACTTGAAAACAGAGTTGATGAACAACTAAGTGTTATACAAGTCCAAGTGAATGGTGTTAGGAAGCTAGTTCAAACACAAGCAAAGGACACCAGAGTCTTTAGAAAGTTGGTTGGGTTTAGTTTGGTTGTTGTAGTTGGTTTACTGGGGATGGTTTATTCCAAAACAATTTCCTCATGAGCATGCCCCTATGTGATTTTCTCCAATTCGCGTGTATGTGCCTAGCACAGTTTCTATGCTCAGCCTCAGGGAATACATTAGCTATGACATTTGAAAGACCCTACAAAAATAGGATGAAAGTCATGTACATATGCAGTTGAATATCATAAGGTATTGAAATATTTCATGTTATAAGGACTGACCTTTTGTTGATCACTAATTAGAGTCCACAAATGTGGGTTAGTAATCTGCAAATATGTCGTCAATAGGTCTAAAAACCAAGCACAAAAGAGTTGTTCTCTATCTCAACCACAGCCCAAGTTATTGGGTACATTTGATCATTCACATCCCTCCCAACTGCAGTTAATATCTCTCCCTTTAGTTGTCCTTTCAAGAAGCAACCGTCCAAGCCAATAACCTTCCTACAACCCTCAAGAAAACCTCGTTTGACAGGCCCAAAACAGATGTACATGCGATGAAAAACTGAGGCAGCTTCTAGGACAACTCTAACTTTGTGAATCTTAACAGTTGACTCTGGAATGGACCTCGAGCATTCCTCTGCATAGTTCCTCAATTTTTTAAACTGATCTTGAAAATCTCTTTGGGTTTTCTTCAGTATAGCCCTCAAAGCCCTTGTGGCCATACTACCGGAAACATTGATTTTCATCTCACTCTTAATATGTGCCTTCAAATCTACTGCACCCATGGTTGGGTTTTCTATTACCTTGTCTCCAAATGTCTCAGCTATCCACTTCTCACTGACAATTCTTAGCTTAAACCTCAAATTGCATCTATGTTCAAGTTCAAGAACCTTAACCTGGAAACACTTCAGCCTAGGTTCCCAACTTGCAGTACATTCAAAAGAGCATGTTGGGACACATTTCAACCTAACACTTGTATATGTATTCTTCACAAACCGGATATCTCTTTTCTCAGCCACTTCATACCTAACCATAGCATTTTTGAATTGCCTTGCATCTTCAAAAAGCATTGCTAAGGAAATAACAGGAGGTTCAGACTCAGGATTGTAAGAAGTATGTTGGATGTGTGACCTTTTACTCTTCTTTTCATCTAATTCTTGCTCAGAAGTGTAGCTTCTTGGAGGGATGAATCATATTCTAAATTGTCTTCATCATCATCAGATTCTACCTCATTTTGTACTCCTCTTCCTCTAATTTCCTCCATTTCTTCCTCATTTTTTGCTCCTCTTCCTCTAATCTCCTCCATGTCTTCCTCATTTTCTGCTCCTCTTCCTCTATTCTCCTCCATGTCTTCCTCATTTTCTATCCTCTTCCTCTATTCTCCTCCATTTCTTGCTCATTTTCAGCACCTCTTCCTCTAATATCATCCATTCCTGGGTCATTGTCCTCCATTTCTGGTTCATTGTCATCAGCCTCAGATTGCACTAGGACATCTTCTCGTTCTTCACCATGTGCCTCACTTTGTTGTGCATAAAACTATCTTTCATTATGTGGTGTAAAAGAGCTAGCTTCTTTTCCTTCTTTACTGTGAACTTCCAAGTGATCATTTGGTGCAGGTAAAGGGAAAACCAATTCACAATCATCCAAACCATGTTGTACAAATATGTCACATTGTCCACAATTTGTAGCTCTATCTATGAGGTCAAGTGTGGTTTCATCATTGTACAGCTCACGCAGCTCATCCGTAGGATCACTTGGTTTTTTATAATATAGTGCTTCAATATTACCATAACTTCCAGACTTTAAACACTGCATTAAATGAGGAAAATATATCAAGTCTGGATCTATAGAAATACAATCCCCCCTCCCCCACGTACATACTTTCAGGCACACTGACAAAATTCTCCACATGATAAATGATTAAGTCAACTTCGTCAAACATTCTTGCAAAC